AGGAAACAGTCCTCCATAAAATGCGCTGGACACATCTGAATATTTGGGTTAAACTGTTCTGGAACAGTGTTGTAAATACAACATAACCACTGATTTCTAGTCCTTTTTTGGAAGACCAAACAAAGTAGTTTCGCGTGTTAGAACGAGCCATTTTAGGTAGGCGTGGTTAACTCTTAACTTTTATCAAGAATATCTCTTTGGATTTGAGACTTTAGTCTTTGCAACTTTACAGATCTTCTTTATGCACCAAGAGCTTGTAACACTCCAAAGAGAAAGGAAAAATTGAAATCGCATCATATGACCCCTTTAAATGAACTCTATGGTCTATTGAGGAAGAGGTTTTATGAAAGGTCATGCGGTATGAGGTGGCAGAGTCCTGCATCAGTCTTAGCCCTTAAGTTAGTAAATCTGCCTGCCTTCTCTAAGGTTATCTTTCTCAGCTTGTATTTTTATCTACTCTCAGTGTCTCTCTTAAAGGGATAGTGCACCCAGAAATTAAAATTCTGTCATCATTACTCACCCTCATGTCAACCTGTATGACTATCTTTTTTGGATCCCATTTACTTTCATTGTATGGACAAAAACAGCAGTTATTCTTGAAATTATCTTCTTTTGTGTTCGAGAAAGTAAGTCATACAGGTTTTGAACAACATGACCGTAAGTAAATGATGAGGATTTTCATTTCTGGGTGAACTGTCCCTTTAAACCAAAAAGGAATTGTATATTTCACCAGCAAATTCATTTCTCTCCCCCATCTCTCAAACAAACAGCACCCTGCCCACCCAAAGCACTAGAGCTGTACCGTGAGTGTTCCACTAACGTCATCTTGTTCTCGTGGGATTCCACCAACAACACGGCTTATTACTTCGCCATAGCTGTGGACTCGGACCAACTGGTAACTGAATGCCTCACTGTGGACACCTCCTGTTATTTCACCGACACTGTCTGTGGTCAAACCTACAGCTTCTATGTCAGATCCATCTACTCCGGAGGACTAGACTGCAACAGTGGATACACAGACGGTGTGGTGATCAAAACGGGTGAGTCAGCCATTTTGGTACAAATGGATAAATATTTAATTTTCCATGATATGACATTGTTATACTGCTATAACTTGTAAAATGGATACTGGTGCTATTGGTACTTCACAATCACTAAAATGAGAGACACATAATTTTGCAGCTGTTTCTGTTTGTGTTTGTTTTGGAGTTTAAAATACATTTAAAAGACAATTCATATTCAGTTATATTATCGAATTAACAGCACTAACACTGTTGGATGAGAGAAAAAAATTAGAACTGAATTGAGCTGGATTATGACACTTTGCAAATTGCAACATCAACACTGTTACTTGTTTTACATATAATTATTCATTTTGGCCCCCTCTGTCTCCTTACCCATGTAGCCCCATGTTTACCGCAGAACATCTACACAATAGCAAACTGTGATAGCATCAGCAGTGCCGTCATTACTTGGGATGAGGCCACAGGAGCCGAGACCTACATTGTGGAGGCCCGCGGTAATCGTAAAGATTTCTACAACTGTACGTCTGCAAACACAAGCTGCACGCTAACAGATCTGGAATGCGGAGAGAGCCTGAGCGTGTGGATTGTTGCCACAAATGGTGAATGTACTACTGATCCTGTGCTGGGAGAGGTGGCAGAGACAGGTGAGTGATTCTGGGTACTGTGGTAATACCAATTGCAATGTAAATACATTGGCATATGAATATGAACTTACAAAAAAAGTACTGTGGCATGGTTTTAGATGGTGATACTATACACTATATCTCCCACCGTAGTTCCCTGCATACCTCAGAACGTGTCCGCTGTGAAGACTTGTAGTTCAGAATCTGCCTCTCTCACATGGAACAATGCCAACGGTGCCATCATCTACATTGGATCGGCAAAGCACGTAGATGGTACAATTCACACATGCGCTGCCATGGCGACAGAGTGCACATTCCCAAACCTGAGATGCGGCGAGACGTATGATGTGAATGTCAAGGCAACTAACCTGCAATGCAACAGTGCTGAGAGTCATCATGTCACCCTGCAGACGGGTAAAAAAAAAATTTATCAATAATAATAATTAAAAAACATTCAAATGAGGAATGAAAGAGACCGGACATCTAAAATGTAAAATTACAAATTATGTAAAAACAAAAAATAAAAGGTGATGAATAAAAGATGCCAGATATTTAAAATGTAAAATAATAAATAATATAAAATAAAAATTAAATGGTATGAATAAAAGGTAAAATATTTAAAGTGTAAAATAGTGAATAATGTCAAATAAAAAAAAGTTAAAAAAGTAAAATAAAACAGGATAAATAAAAGAGGCCAGATATTTAAAATGTAATATAACAAATAATTAAAATAAAAAAATAAAATGGGATGAATAAAAGTAGCCAGATATTTAAAAAGTTAAATAAACAAAAAAAAAAAGTATGAAGGAAAAGGACATACTTTTATACTGCAGGATGAACATGGACCCACAGTTAATTGCAGCACCAGCTCTAACAACTGCACATTCGCAGACCTGCTCTGTGGAATGAACTACAACGTCACAGTCACAAGGAATGATGGTCAATGCAGGAGTCTGCCATCCACACCCATTCAGATACAGTCAGGTAACAGTCATGTGAGAATGCATGCATGTTTACACAGTAATAACAGATCTTTGAAACTGACTGCGTATCTCCTTTAGCTCCCTGTGACCCTCAAAACATCACAACTGTGCTCCAGTGTGACACCAACACGGCCAACGTGACATGGGCTGCCAGCGCAGGAGCTAATGGGTACACAGCAATGGCAACAGACGGGCAGCAGCAACGCTTAGCTTCTTGTCACTCTATAGGAACTTCCTGTCAGCTGACCTCTCTGCCGTGTGGGATGAGACTAAATGTGACTGTCCAAGCTGATGACACCACCTGCAACAGCAGCTCTCAACCTAAAGCTGTGGTGGTAACAGGTGACAGCTCATGTTAACTTTTGCTGATATATGTGATTCATAACAATGTGCACAAATAATTTGGCCCTTAAATACATTATATGTATGATTTTCAATGCATTAGACAGAAAAGTGGCATTTGCTTGTTTGTTTTATCCAATTATGTATCTATAAATATATACTAAGTAACCACAGCTGTTCATCACATTAACTATGAATATGACCCGCTAAACCACAAAACACTTATGTCATTTAATTCAATGACGTTCATTCATTTTTAAACGTAGCTTAAGTGTCCACATTTTTTTAGGGTCCACATGTATTTCAAACAAACAAAGAAATAAAAAAAACAACACACTACCATTCAAAGGTTTAGTTTTTTTTTTTATATATATATATAAGATCATATTGTTTTGTTTTTTGGAAATAAATTAATTATTTTATTCAGTAAGAACACATTACTGTAAAGACATTTATGATGTTACAAAAGATTTAAATTTCAAATAAATGATCTTTTGAATTTTCTGTTCATCATCATCATCAAAAAAAAAAACTTGAAAAAATGTATCATGGTTTCTGCAAAAATTTGAGCAGAACAACTGTTTTGAAAATTGATAAGAATGTTTCCTTGCGCACCAAATCAGCATATTAGAATGATTTCTGAAGGATCATGTGACACTGAAGACTGGAATAATGGCTGCTGAAAATTATGCTTTGACATCACAGGAATAAATTACATTTTAAAAATATATTCAAATAGAAAACAGTTATTTAAAATTGTAATAATATGTCATAATATTAAGGGTTTTAGTTAAAATAAATGCAGCCTTGGTGAGCATACGAAACGTCTTTCAAAAAACTTTTGAACAGTACTGTATATGTACACTTTTTATATATAACCTATTTTTTCATATAACGTCCTCTTCTCTAGCTCCCTGCATTCCCACCAATGTTGCTGCCGCTCTACACTGTACATCCAACATTGCTTCCATCACCTGGCACAGTGCACTTGGTGCCACTTGGTACTTGGTAAAGGTGGAAAGCAGCCAAGGGTACAAGACGTCCTGCAACAACACTGTCACACACTGTGATATCCCAAACCTGCAGTGTGGCCAGGAATATTCCATCACAGTCATGGGCATGAATGGTGTCTGCATGGGCCCGGCTAGCCAGCCTTTCACTCTCGTCTCAGGTACTTGAACTCAGCTCATTAGTGATAATTAGGGATTGGAACAACAAACCGGCTTTTTTCTAAACTATTAAGAAACTTTCTAGCAACCACCCAGAACACCCTATCAACCATACAGCAATACCTTAGCAGTTTTTTCATGTCAAGCACCATTCAGTAAATGTAAAAACATATACTTGTTTTTATACACATATACACACTGTTAACATTTTTGTCATGATCCAGCACCATGCCACAACACTGGCATTCAAGCCAGTCTGGACTGCCGCACCAACTCAGCACTCATTTCTTGGACACCAGGCAATGGTTCATTAAGTTTCAATGCAACACTGCAGTCTTTCCAGGACCCCCAAAAGCACAGCTGCTTCAGCAACAGCTCCTCCTGCAACATCAGCTCACTGCCGTGTGGTCAGCACTATAACATCAGTGTTACAGGATACGGCCGGACCTGTTCAACCTCTTCTAAAACCTTGGTCACTCTAGACACGGGTATAACATTAAATAATAACACAAAGTGCAATTAGATTAAAACCTAATTTGGTGATTCTACTGGCATCAAATGATCTATGGTGCTAAAATCTTCTGATTTTGTGCATGAATCTTTTCCTTTCCAGCTCCATGTGTTCCCACTCAAGTCAATGTGTCATTATCCTGTGGGTCGGCCACTGCATCTGTTTCCTGGGCAGCATCTAGTGGCCTTGTTTCATACTATACAGCAACAGCAGTAGATGATAATGGACAAACGCTAACCTGCAACTCCAGCAGCACTTCCTGTGACATCAGCGGCCTGGTGTGTGGTCAGGCGTACAATGTGTCAGTCACAGCTATGAGTGTGGACTGCACTGGGCAACGTAGTGAAGTGCGTCGCATCAGTACTGGTAAGTATTTTCTAAGTATTTGAAATTTGGAGAAAAAAAAAACACTTTTACTGAATAACTCGTGTTAAGTGCTTTGATGACAGTACTTCACATTTTGTATTTGACAGCACACCACAGATTCTGTTGAGAATGCTTTGTTTTTAACCTGGAATTAAACACGCTAAAGTAATACTTTGTTTACCTTTGTCTCCCAGCACCCTGTGCTCCTCAGTCTGTGGTCAGTCAGCTCTTAGACTGTCGAACAGGTGATGTTCAAATTAGCTGGCAGTCGAGTAAAGGGGCGCAGATCTACTATGCGCAAGCAAAATCCACTGACAAGACTCTGGTGTGTAACTCCACCTCCACGTCCTGCATAATCCCTGCAATTGGCTGTGGGCAGACGTACAATATCACTGTGGTTGCAGAAGCCAGCGGCTGTAGCTCCAACGCCAGTGTGACCAGTCAGGTCACGGCAGGTACAGTAGCATTTGGACAAAGCTGAAAGCTTCCATTCTAGAAGCCATATAGCAACACCATAGCACTACTCATGTTCAGATTACTTTTGTGTGTTTTTTTAAAAAAACTGAATAAAATCTAGTTATTTTTGAAAATGTAACTGTTGCCTCTACTGGTGCGGAAATGACATGCGTAACCTTCACCTCTAAATACCATTATTTTCTCTACTCTTCAGCCCCATGCCCTCCACTGAATATCCAGTCCATAATGAACTGTGACAGCAACACAACAAGTGTGTCCTGGTCCAGGGGCAATGGAGCTCTGTCCTTTATTATGGCAATGGAATGCTCTAATGGACAGACGCACATCTGCAGGACCAATGAAACAGGATGTGACATCACTAACATGGCATGCGGACAAACATGCACAGTTAAGGTAGTGGCAGAGGGACGTTCCTGCAACAGCTCTGAAGGGACTGGATCACCTGTCATAACAGGTAAGAGAAACTGTTATATTGAAATATGGTGAATATTAGCGTTCAAAAGTTTTTAATACTTTTATTGAGCAAGGATGAATTGACAGACATTAAAGTGACAGTAAAGACATTTATAATGTTACCAAAAATTTCTATTTTAAATAAATACTATTTTGAACGTAATTTCCACAGCAGCACAACTGTTTTCAACACTGATAATAATAAGAATAATACGAAATGTTTCATGAGCACCAAATCAGCATATTAGAATGATTTCCACAGGATCATGTGACTGGAGTAAAGGTGCTGAAAATTCAGCTTTTCATCACAAGAATAAGTTATAATAATTACTTATATAATTTTATAATATATTAAAATATGCAGCATTTGAAATTTGAAATGTTGCTTAAAAAGAATATTGCATGTTAAATACAACTTAAGCTCCATTACCACGGTTTTTTTTTTTTTTTGTAAAAATGACACAAAACACACACTATTAAACTTACCTAGCAATCAAGCGGACAGGACTTTGAATATGCCTTTAAAATAATAAGTCAACCATGTACTCATTTTGTTTTCTATAACTCTGAATATTGCTTTAAAATAATAAGTCTACAATGTGCTCATTTTGTTTTCTATAATTTACCCAGGTCCTTGTGTACCACAAAATGTGTCGGCCAGTGTAAGCTGTAGCAGCAACATAGCAAGTGTAACCTGGGGGAGCAGCCAAGGGGCGGAGCTTTACACAGTGACAGCCAGCAGTGCTAATGGCCTTTCAGCTAACTGCACATCACCATCCACTTCCTGTGACCTGTCAACTTTGACCTGCGGAGAGTCTTACACGATCACAGTGAAGGCAAAAGGCAGCAACTGCAGCAGTGGGAACAGTGCGCCTGTTCAAGTTCAAGCAGGTTTGTTTCTTATTTCATATCATGATTCTTTTTAAAGCTGAAGAATGTCTTTTTCATTTAAAAACTGTAAAAGAAAGGCACTGAATTAATTAACACTCAAGTTTTACCTTGCTTCTTGTGTTCTAGTGCCCTGCACCCCAAGTAATGTCCTGCCCACCGTGGATTGTGTCACAAATGCTTTAGTGGTATCATGGACACCTGGTGCAGGAGGACAGTATTACACGGCCACCTTGCAGGACAGCAATGGACTGTCCACCACCTGCCAGTCTACGGGCTCACAGTGTAATGTGACGGGGCTCAGGTGTGGTCAGCTGTACCATGTCAATGTGACGGCGTCAGATGATCTGTGCAGCAGCCCTCCCAGTGCTACTGTGAACACTAACTCAGGTACGGAAACACATACATGCATATACTTGTCTATATACTCTATACTCACACTTGTTCCCATAGAGACTTTCTGCTAAATGAATTGCTATGTTCACTGTTCACTGCATAATGTGCAGTATATACTGTATACTGCTTACTATTTTTAAGAAATAGTATGTAAAACAGATTATGCAACATTTTTACAAGTTTTAAACAATGCAACTTTCTTGTCACACGACCTGATTACTTTGCAGTGCAGGTTTAATTCAGTGAGTGGCATTCAGGTGAAAATAAATAGGTTCATTTTGCATAAAATGTCTTTGCAAATCAAACAAATGAGTTGAGTTTGTCTGGACAAAGTCGAGTGCTTTGCATTGTGGGATTCAGCACCCAGACTACTATGGTCTGTAGTATGCCCTGCATATTTTTAAACATTTTCATGATACACTACTGTTCAAAAGTTTGGGGTCAGTATGATTTTTTTTAAAGAAATTTATAAATATAATTAATACATTAAATAAATGTTCCTTTCTGAAGAATCATGTGACACTGAAGACTGGAGTAATGGTTGCGGAATCCAACTCTTTAACAGTGTAAATAAGTCAGAATGCATGAAATAGCATTAGACCTCCCCTTTAAAATGTAAAATACAAATTGTGTAAAAAAAAAAAAAAAAACTAATAAAAAAAACAAAACATTAAAATGAGGAATAACAGAGACCGAACATCTAAAATGTAAAATTAAAAATTATGTAAAACAAAAAATAAAAGGGGATGAATAAAAGATGCCAGATATTTAAAATGTTAAATAATAAATAATACAAAATAAAAATAAAATGGTATAAATAAAAGGTAAAATATTTTAAGTGTAAAATAACAAATAAGGTAAAAATAAAAGATGAATAAAAAGGCCTAGATAAAAAAAGTAAAAAAAAAAAAAAGGATAAATACTCTATAGGAACTTCCTGTCAGCTGACCTCTTTGCCGTGTGGGATGAGACTAAATGTGACTGTCCAAGCTGATGACACCACCTGCAACAGCAGCTCTCAACCTAAAGCTGTGGTGGTAACAGGTGACAGCTCATGTTAACTTTTGCTGATATATGTGATTCATAACAATGTGCACAAATAATTTGGCCTTTAAATACATTATATGTATGATTTTCAGTGCATTAGAAAGAAACAAGTGGCATTTGCTGGTTTATTTTACCCAATTATGTATATATCTACATATATATCCTGAGTAACCACAGGTGTAGTTCATCACATTAACTATGAATATGACCCGCTAAACCACAAAACACTTATGCTATTTAATTCATTGACATTCATTCATTTTTAAACGTAACTTAAGTGTCCACATTTTTTTAGGGTCCACATGTATTTCAAATGAAAAAACAATACACTACCATTCAAAGGTTTAGGGTCAGTAAGAATTTTTGTTTTTTATAAGATTTTTTTTTTTTTAAAGAAATTATTTTATTCGGTAAGAACACATTAATTTGATAAAAAGTGACAGTAAAGACATAATGTTACAAAATATTTAATTTTCAAATAAATTATCTTTTGATTTTCTGTTCATCAAAAAAAGAAAATCCTGAAAATATTTGTATCATGGTTTCTGCAAAAATATTGAGCAGAACAACTGTTTTGAAAATTGATAAGGATTTTTTCTTGCTCACCAAATCAGCATATTAGAATGATTTCTCAAGGATCATGTGACACTGAAGACTGGAATAATGGCTGCTGAAAATTCTGCTTGGACATCACAGGAATAAATTACATTTTAAAAATATATTCAAATAGAAAACAGTTATTTAAAATTTTAATAATATGTCATAATATTAAGGTTTTAGTTAAAGTAAATGCAGCCTTGGTGAGCATACGAAACGTCTTTCAAAAAACCTAAAAAAAAAAAAACTAACAAACTTTTGAACAGTACTGTATATGTACACTTTTTATATATAACCTATTTTTTCATATAACTTCCTCTTCTCTAGCTCCCTGCATTCCCACCAATGTTGCTGCCGCTCTAAACTGTACATCCAACATTGCTTCCATCACCTGGCACAGTGCACTTGGTGCCACTTGGTACTTGGTAAAGGCGGAAAGCAGCCAAGGGTACAAGACGTCCTGCAACAACACTGTCACACACTGTGATATCCCAAACCTGCAGTGTGGCCAGGAATATTCCATCACAGTCATGGGCATGAATGGTGTCTGCATGGGCCCGGCTAGCCAGCCTTTCACTCTCGTCTCAGGTACTTGAACTCAGCTCATTAGTGATAATTAGGGATTGAAACAACAGTCCGGCTTCAGTTTTTTCTGAACTATTAAGAAACTTTCAAGCAACCACCCAGAACAGCCTAGCAACCATACAGCAATACCTTAGCAGTTTTTTTCATAGCAAGCACCATTCAGTAAATGTAAAAACATATACTTCAGTTTGATGTGTTAACATTTTTGTCATGATCCAGCACCATGCCACAACACTGGCATTCAAGCCAGTCTGGACTGCCGCACCAACTCAGCACTCATTTCTTGGACACCAGGCAATGGTTCATTAAGTTTCAATGCAACACTGCAGTCTTTCCAGGACCCACAAAAGCACAGCTGCTTCAGCAACGGCTCCTCCTGCAACATCAGCTCACTGCCGTGTGGTCAGCACTATAACATCAGTGTTACAGGATACGGCCGGACCTGTTCAACCTCTTCTAAAACCTTGGTCACTCTAGACACGGGTATAACATTAAATAATAATACAAAGTGAAATAAGATTAAAACCTAATTTGGTGATTCTACTGGCATCAAATGATCTATGGTGCTAAAATCTTCTGATTTTGTGCATGAATCTTTTCCTTTCCAGCTCCATGTGTTCCCACTCAAGTCAATGTGTCATTATCCTGTGGGTCGGACACTGCATCTGTTTCCTGGGCAGCATCTAGTGGCCTTGTTTCATACTATACAGCAACAGCAGTAGATGATAATGGACAAACGCTAACCTGCAACTCCAGCAGCACTTCCTGTGACATCAGCGGCCTGGTGTGTGGTCAGGCGTACAATGTGTCAGTCACAGCTATGAGTGTGGACTGCACTGGGCAACGTAGTGAAGTGCGTCGCATCAGTACTGGTAAGTATTTTCTAAGTATTTGAAATTTGGAGAAAAAAAAAACACTTTTACTGAATAACTCGTGTTAAGTGCTTTGATGACAGTACTTCACATTTTGTATTTGACAGCACACCACAGATTCTGTTGAGAATGCTTTGTTTTTAACCTGGAATTAAACACGCTAAAGTAATACTTTGTTTACCTTTGTCTCCCAGCACCCTGTGCTCCTCAGTCTGTGGTCAGTCAGCTCTTAGACTGTCGAACAGGTGATGTTCAAATTAGCTGGCAGTCGAGTAAAGGGGCGCAGATCTACTATGCGCAAGCAAAATCCACTGACAAGACTCTGGTGTGTAACTCCACCTCCACGTCCTGCATAATCCCTGCAATTGGCTGTGGGCAGACGTACAATATCACTGTGGTTGCAGAAGCCAGCGGCTGTAGCTCCAACGCCAGTGTGACCAGTCAGGTCACGGCAGGTACAGTAGCATTTGGACAAAGCTGAAAGCTTCCGTTCTAAATAAATATGCACACAATCACTCTCAATTGTATCTCTAATATGCTGAAAACGGCTGCATTAATCTTTCTTGTCTCATCACATTTAATTACGATTTACATGAATCACGTAAAGGAGATATTTTCAATTTAAAACAGCAACATTTGACAAAAGAACAGTGCATAATGGAGTGCACCAGAGCAGCATCAAGAAATATCAAATATTGTGAGGAACACTTTGGCCATATCTGATTTTTGGAGGGGACGTTGTACCCTCAATATTCATGGTGGTTGCAGCCCTTGTTCCCCAAATCAAAGTCATGCTCTACACTTTTTAAACTTAAGTATATGTCACAAAACTGAAGTAAACGGTTTGCAAATACAGTTTTATGTTGACTTTAAGACTTAAATGCTTAGTACTGGAGACATGCAGAATAATAGTCTCAGCATATGTGTTTCTGTTTCTTCTTTAGCACCCTGTCCACCTACTTTTGTCACTGCTGTTTTGGACTGCTCTACTAACATGGTCTTAGTGTCGTGGAGCTCCTTGGGCATTTCAGGGGTTCATTACACGGCAACAGCAATTGGCCCATTGGGGCCCTCTAGTGGTGTGGAGTGTAGCACGACAAACTTCAACTGCACTCTTGCCCACCTGCAATGTGGCAGCCAATACAATGTCACTGTCACTGCTACCCAAAACAACTGTACTAGCAAATCCAGCAAGGAGTACTCCTTCATTACAGGTTAGGAATCAGGAATTGTATTAAAAATAATATTACTATAATGATAGTCCTTAAAGTCAAGATTTTTTTCAAACTCATATTTAATAATCTGTTTCCTTTCACCTTTCTTTACCCTGACTTTCAGCTCCATGTGTGCCAGTTCTGAACGACGTGGCTCTGAACTGTAGCTCAAGGTCCGCTGTGGTGAACTGGTCAGGATTGAGTCTAGATGCATTATCGGTCAGCGCAGTGAGCTCTCAGGGTGAACAGCTGGGATGTGGTGTCTTCAACAATGGTTCATGTGTGGTGGACGGACTGCAGTGTGGACAGACGTATACGTTCAGTGTGAATACAACGCAAGGCCAGTGCACCAGTGCTGCTAGTAACACACTGCAGAGGGAGACAGGTAACAAAGCCTAGTTTGTCCAGACATTTGAAGACACTGTAAAGAAGAAAAGACAGATTCTTTAGACAGAAACTGTAGTAAATCATAAAGAAATAATTTAAACAAATGTCTCAAGCCCTTTTCACTAAATCACTGATTGTTGCTAGCAGACATTTCTACTTGACTGTAGGCCTGAGCATTAACACAGATTTCGCAATTAGATTCTGATTCACATGCTCTCAATTCAGTTTGATTCAGATGCTTCTTTGATATCAGTTCATTTTGAAATACTTCAGGTACATGCTATTTTTCTTAAGGAAAATAAATCTCTCAAATAAAGCTGTAAACTATACAGGGAACACTCTCACTTGGTACATTACTAAAATATTAAAGCTTAAAACTATTAAATTCAGTTGCTATTTATTTTCAGATATAATAATCAACACTCAAATAAAAACTGAGTTGAAAACAAACATTTTTATATAAAGAGTTTTTATATAAAATTTTCTGAAGGCATAATTATGTTTCTACTCAGATTCCTTGTTGAAATATAAACATTTAAATGAACATAAATTGTCTTGAATAAATCTGTCAAAGTAATTATGCCATCACTAATAGGTAAAATACAATGAATATATAATATATATAGTACACATATTTCACACAATGCTTCTCTAGAGTTTTTTCTAGCAAACTAACAAGCTATAGACACTGAATGACTTTCCTAAGATAACGTTATGTTATGATGTTTGCAAGCTGATTTATTGACGTCTTTTTGCAGTTTGAAACACTGGTCCATTTTAGTAAGTTGTACAATTTTTTTCAACATACTTTCCGATTATCATTCTTGTTTAATTCATGCCTATAACTTGATGTAAAGAGGAAGACATGATTGCTTTCAAACTTGACGCATGAACAGAGGTGGCTACAAAGATCTGTCACACCACATGACAGAGCAGGGGTCCTCAACTCTGGACCTCGAGATCCAGTTTCCTGAAGGAGATTAGCTCCAACCTGGATCAAATACACCTACCTGCAACTTTGTAGCAATCCTGAAGACCTTGATTAGCTTGTTCAGGTGTGTTTGATTAGGGTTGGAGCTAAACTCTGCAGGAAAGTGGATCTCAAGGTCCAGAGTTGAGGACCCCTGTGATAGAGCATCAAAAGAGCATCATTTATTGTTTGTATTTCTTGATAAAATTTGAAAGCGTAGGCTTTTCCGAACATACTGATGTTCAGATTTTTTTTTTAACTGAATAAAATATAGTTATTTAAAAAAAATGTAATTGGTGCCTCTACTGGTGCAGAAATGACATACGTAACCTTCACCTTTAAATGCCATTATTTTCTCTTCTCTTCAGCCCCATGCCCTCCACTGAATATCCAGTCCATAATGAACTGTGACAGCAACACAGCAAGTGTGTCCTGGTCCAGTGGCAATGGAGCTCTGTCCTTTATGATGGCAATGGAATGCTCTAATGGACAGAGGTACATCTGCAGGACCAATGAAACAGGATGTGACATCACTAACATGGCATGCGGACAAACATGCACAGTTAAGGTAGTGGCAGAGGGACGTTCCTGCAACAGCTCTGAAGGGACTGGATCACCTGTCATAACAGGTAAGAGAAACTGTTATATTGAAATATGGTATACATTATCCTTAAAAGGTTTGGGGTCATAGAAATTAATACAGAGTTCTGGCATGAAACTCTAGATGGCACAGTCCGATAGATCTAACTCAATCTGACCTAATGACATCATTATCACATGGCTCAGCTGATTGGTTCTCTCCTGTATCAGTAGCCAATGAGCTCGCTGCTCAATATTCAAATATATGACTAGTGCTTGCCGTAGTAGTGCAGCTTGCTTCAGAAACCCCCCACCTTCCCCAGCTCCACCTGTATAGATCTGCTACGAGGTGATTCATGTATGCTCTATGGGGGTTATTTCATGTATTATATATTTGCAGCAGCAATATTTCTTACATGCTCACAGCAGCATGTTGTGGATGTATATATATATAATATTATTCTATAATTAAATAAAATAATAAATAATACAATAATAAGTCAACCATGTACTCATTTTGTTTTTCAAACTCGGTCCTGGAGGGCCGGTGTCCTGCAGAGTTTAAGGTGCATTCACGCCATATCGTAATTACCATGATTATGAGATACCAACTTGTAAAAAGCGTTCACGTCCTCTGCCGCAGCAGCAGCAGCAGCAGCGTAGCAGATCTATTCCGCCAAGACCAAATACATTAACATTGTCATGTACATTACTATGCCAATCCCTCTGAGAGTTGTCATGACAGAAATACTTTTATTGAGCAAGGCAGAATTAAATTGACAGACATTAAAGTGACAGTAAAGAGATATATAATGTTACCAAAAATCTCTGTTTTAAATAAATACTCCACAAAATTATTAAGCAGCACAACTGTTTTCAACACTGATAATAATAAGAATAATACGAAATGTTTCATGAGCACCTAATCAGCATATTAGAATGATTTCCAAAGGATCATGTGACTGGAGTAAAGGTGCTGAAAATTCAGCTTTTCATCACAAGTTACATTTTATAATATATTAAAATATGCAGCATTTGAAATGTTGTTTAAAAAGAATACTGCATGTTAAATACAACTTAAGCCCATATATATATATAATATTATTCTATAATTAAATAAAATAATAAATAATACAATAATAAGTCAACCATGTACTCATTTTGTTTTTCAAACTCGGTCCTGGAGGGCCGGTGTCCTGCAGAGTTTAAGGTGCATTCACGCCATATCGTAATTACCATGATTATGAGATACCAACTTGTAAAAAGCGTTCACGTCCTCGCAGAACTCGTAATTACAACTTGTGAACTGGGAGTTTTCTGAGAGCTACAACTTGTACCACCTCAGATTCATTAGGTGCTATGTTTAGGCATTGATAGTGCGATAGTTCCGAGCCCAAGGGTGTGAACAGCTCCAAGTAGAACGTCACGTGTTGTCATCTCGAAATCATAGTAATTACGACATGGCATGAATGCAGCACTAGCTCCAACCCTAATTAAACACACCTGAAACAGCTAATTAATGTCTTAGTAGGCATACTAGAAACTTCCAGGCAGGTGTCTTGAGGCTAGTTGGAGCTAAACTCTGCAGGACATCGGCCCTCCAGGACCAAGTTTGGAGACCCCTGCTTTAAAATAATAAGTCTACTATGTACTCATTTTGTTTTCTATAATTTACCCAGGTCCTTGTGTACCACAAAATGTGTCGGCCAGTGTAAGCTGTAGCAGCAACATAGCAAGATGCTCACATGGATGTATTGGCAGTAGCAAGTCTCGGTACTTGCTCTGCCGCAGCAGCAGCAGCAGCAGCGTAGCAGATCTATTCCGCCAAGACCAAATACATTAACATTGTCATGTACATTACTATGCCAATCCCTCTGAGAGTTGTCATGACAGAAATACTTTTATTGAGCAAGGCAGAATTAAATTGACAGACATTAAAGTGACAGTAAAGAGATATATAATGTTACCAAAAATCTCTGTTTTAAATAAATACTCCACAAAATTATTAAGCAGCACAACTGTTTTCAACACTGATAATAATAAGAATAATACGAAATGTTTCATGAGCACCTAATCAGCATATTAGAATGATTTCCAAAGGATCATGTGACTGGAGTAAAGGTGCTGAAAATTCAGCTTTTCATCACAAGTTACATTTTATAATATATTAAAATATGCAGCATTTGAAATGTTGTTTAAAAAGAATACTGCATGTTAAATACAACTTAAGCTCCATTACCACATTGTTTTTTTTTTTTTGTAAAAATGCCACAAAACATATAGTACTGAACTTACCTAGCATTCAATCGGACAGGACTCTTAATATTCCTTTAAAATAATAAAATATTTTAAATAAATAATAATCATATCATGATTCTTTTTAAAGCTGAAGAATGTCTTTTTCATTTAAAAACTGTAAAAGAAAGGCACTGAATTAATTAACACTCAAGTTTTACCTTGCTTCTTGTGTTCTAGTGCCCTGCACCCCAAGTAATGTCCTGCCCACCGTGGATTGTGTCACAAATGCTTTAGTGGTATCATGGACACCTGGTGCAGGAGGACAGTATTACACGGCCACCTTGCAGGACAGCAATGGACTGTCCACCACCTGCCAGTCTACGGGCTCACAGTGTAATGTGACGGGGCTCAGGTGTGGTCAGCTGTACCATGTCAATGTGACGGCGTCAGATGATCTGTGCAGCAGCCCTCCCAGTGCTACTGTGAACACTAACTCAGGTACGGAAACACATACATGCATATACTTGTCTATATACTCTATACTCACTCTTGTTCCCATAGAGTCTTTCTGCTAAATGAATTGCTATGTTCACTGTTCACTGCATAATGTGCAGTATATACTGTATATATCTTACTATTTTTAACAAATAGTATGTAAAACAGATTATGCAACATTTTTACATTTGACTTTCTTGTCACATGACCTGATTACTTTGCAGGGCAGGTTTAATTCCATGAGTGGCATTCAGGTGAAAATAAATAGGTTAATTTTGCATAAAATCTAAAAAAAAAAAAAAGTCTTTGCAAATCATTCAAATGAGTTGAGTTTGTCTGGACAAAGTCGAGTGCTTTGCATTGTGGGATTCAGCACCCAGACTACTATGGTCTGTAGTATGCCCTGCATATTTTTAAACATTTTCATGATACACTACTGTTCAAAAGTTTGGGGTCAGTATGATTTTTTTTAAAGAAATTAATAATTTTATTCAAAAAGGATGCATTAAATTGATCATGATCTTGGAAAGAGATTCTGTATTATGTATGCTCTACAACATTTGCATTGGGAAACACTGATAAGCACATTACACAACAAACCACAACCATGAGAATGAACCTAGATCACCCCAGAAATCTTAGCGTCTTCAAGGTTTATCCAGGAACTCTTTCTTCTTCATCTCTCTATCCCTTCCTTTCATCCTAGTAGTGCTTTCATCCCCTTCTTTTCTTTCATCTCCACTTTATGCTTTCAGTACACCCACCTGTCTTTCTTGACACCTATTTCTCCTTTTCATTCCTCAGAGCAATACTCTTACACTCTCTGTCCTCCACACCTTCTGCACTCTTCACTCTCTATAGAGCGCAACAGTCAGGTTGCGGAAGTAAAAACTCCATTCACTTTTCTCCATAGGGAAATAGATTTTTAACAATAACTGATAATACTTTAAAGACAGACCTGTTGTGAGCTCTGAGGTTGTTAATCGATTGTATATGCTTTTGTTGAACCCATCTGATCGCATTAATTCAACTTAATTTTAAAATTATCGTGGAATTTGTGGTGAAAAACTACATTACCCTTTATAATGGCAGTGAATGATGGTCAAGATTTTGAAGCAAAATAAAGTGCATCCATCCCATCATAAAAAGCTTGAAAGAGCCAGGACTTTTTTAAAAATATAACTCAGGTTGAATTCGTCTGAAAGAAAAAAATCACATACACCTAGAATGGTTTGAGGGTGAGTAAATCAAGGGGAAATTTTCATTTTTGAGTGAATATCCCTTTAAGGGTCAAAGCTGGTCTTTAGCTAGTCAATAGCTGGTACAAACTGGCCAACCCGTCACCATCTTTCAAAAACCACCCGGACCACATTAAATTGGTATTGTATATGCTGGTAACCGGTATGTTGCTGGTATAAAATGGTCTAAAGGCCTTGACACACCTTTTAAACAATGGTCAAATGACAAAAACAAACTACCTGGTATAGACAGTCATTTCCTTTCACTCAGGTGCAGAATTTACATGATAGCTGGCTGTTGGCTGCAGCCTTTGCGGTGTGTTCAAGCGCAACTTTTTGGCCCAGATGCACACAATGTGAGGTGACAACACAGCCAGCTTTCATTGCCACTAGTTCTTTGATGTTGGTTTGGTTTGTCACAACATTAACACAGCGGTTTTCAACCAGGGGGCCTGGGGGGGGGCCTCAGCAAACTTCAAAAAGATTATTTAAATTGATTATTTAAATATAAAAAAAACTATAAAATAAGCTAAAATGCCTAACAAAAATACACAAAATACCTTATTTTAATTCACCCATCACAAAACTGTTTTTCTTTGAAGAACAATGGGTCTTACAGTCCTGGATTTATGAGGTAGTCCAATTAAAAAGCTGAGATTTCTAGACCTGGAAAAGTCATGTAAATTAATATAATCTTGTAGTTAAATTTGCATAAAATCTAAAAAAAAAAAAAAGTCTTTGCAAATCATTCAAATGAGTTGAGTTTGTCTGGACAAAGTCGAGTGCTTTGCATTGTGGGATTCAGCACCCAGACTACTATGGTCTGTAGTATTCCCTGCACATTTGTTTTTAATTTTCACTTCTGTTCAAAAGTTTGGGGTCAGTAAGAATTTTTAAAGAAATTAATAAATATAATTAATACATTAAATAAATGTTTCTTTCTGAAGAATCATATGACACTGAAGCCTGGAGTAATGATAGCTGAAAAATCAACTTTGTCATCACAAGAATAAAACAATTGTAATACTATTTCACAGTATTGCTGTTTTTACTTTTATTTTATTTCTGATCAAATAAATTCTTCCTTGGTGAGCATGAGACTTCTTTTAAATACATTAAGAAATCTTTCCGACCCCAAACTTTTCAACAGTCGTGTATGTATAAAAACTACATAGTGAATGAATAGCAAGAGTAGTATGGTAGCATGCTTTTCAGACCACAGCCAATATCTCTGTTCACCATGTTTCCACTGAAGAACATTGGGCTCCAATTAAATATTGTCATTCTCAGTGTCTCTCCTGCTTTTACCCATAGTTCCCTGTGCAGCCAGCTTCATCAGGGCAGTGTTGGATTGTCAGCTGGGTACAGCCACTGTGTCATGGCAGTATGGTGCAGGTGCTCAGGGATATGCTGTCTCTGCCTTGGCACCGGTGAACAACAGGGCTAGCTGTACCTCCAACAGCTCCATCACACACTGTGAGCTGAGCAACCTGCAGTGTGGCAATGAGTATACGGTGAACGTACAGAATTTGGGATATACGTGCAATGCCAGTGCACAGATGACCGGCTCCTTGATCACAGGTGAGGTTTAGTAAGCCTGATTTGCTTGTTCTCAGCTGAGACTGTCAAATTGGTTCTGTGATTTAGTTTTGCCAACTTCTGCTTGACTGAAATAGACTGCTCCATTCAACCATTTTACTATATATATATTTTTTCTTTCTAGATTTTATCTAAGGAACATGATACATTATTTTACACTTTTTTTGGATAAAATATGTATCTTGTACATAAATTCTTAAAATTAAATAGTTTTCATACCATTGCAGGTCCGTGTGTTCCTCAGCATCTGACAGCGCAGTACAGTCCTTCCACCGCTCTGCTCTCCTGGGATGTCACTAAAGGTGGTGCCAACTTCACAGCAGAGGCTGTGACCCTCGAGGGCCTGACGGTGACCTGTGAGACCTCTAACACGAGCTGCACCTTCCCAGACCTGGGTTGTGGTGAGATCTACAACGTCAGTGTGACGGCTCACAACAGTGTCTGCAGTGACACTGTGACCTCTGATCCTATCAAGACAGGTCAGTCATGTGACCACTGATTTTAAAGGAATATTCACACAAAATGAACATTCTGTCATTATTTACTCACCCTCATGTCATTCCAAACCTGCATGATGTTCGTCTTGAATCAGTGTCATTTACTTCATGTCATTCCAGAACCCTGTCCTCCTCAGAATGTCAAAGCTAGCCTAAACTGCGCCACCCACAGTGCTACTGTTTCCTGGGAGCCCAGCCAGTTGGCAGTGGGATACGTTGCATTCCTGGAAGGCAGAAATGGTCATTCCACTTCCTGTCAGACAAATCATACATACTGCAGTTTATTTGATCTCACCTGTGGAACAGTGTACTATGTCAGAGTCCGTGCCATCGGTGAGGTGTTCAACAGCTCTGACAGCATAGGGGTCAACATGACATCAGGTCTGTAAAAAACTAATAAAACAAACAATATTGTAACTGTACAAAAATATTTTTCCAGTCACAGCAAATTCCTCTAGTACCAAAGGCCGAAGTCTACGTTAAACCAGAACTGACCATGTTTCTGGTCTTATTTTGCACGATTCATTGCACATTTATTTAAATATTTTGCACATAAATTGCACATATTTAAATAATTTCTAAAGGATTCTGAAGCAGCCATCATAAATATGCTTCTTCTGTATTTTTCAGCACCATGTCTGTCCACCAGTGTGTCTGCTGTGGTGGACTGTGCTACAGATTCAGTTCTAGTGTCCTGGAGTTCCATTGCTGGGGCGGAGAATTACTCTGTGACCGCTTTGGGGTCAGAAGGTGAAACAGTCTCCTGCTCAACCAGTCAGAACCACTGTAACATCTCCTCCCTGCAGTGTGATCAGCAATTTAACCTCACCTTCGCCACTACAAACCAGCAGTGCCAAATGACCTCCACCACCAATGTCACGTTTCAGTCCAGTGAGTTTACAAAGCATTATGTGTGGAAGGGGTTAAAAGTTGAAGCACACTAATTAGGGTACAACCTTTCTGTGACCACCCTGCAGGACCCTGTGCACCACTGCAGCCGGAAGTCAATAAACTGTGCGGTAACAAAATATCTGTGATGTCTTGGGAAGTGAGAGAAGGAGCTGATTACTACATCGCCCGAGCCGTCAGTGCAGAAGGAAGATACCAGCTCTGTAACTCCACCAACTCTGTTTGTTCCTTCTCTACTCTGGGCTGTGGTGAGACCTACACTTTCACTGTCACCGCCCACAGAGGCCACTGCCAAAGCGACGCCAGTGCACCTGTATACCTCACTACAGGTACATCATTATGCAGAGTAAAAAAAATTCTGATATCTCATCTTGGGTCTTTAATCAGAAAATGAGTATTATTATTATTAATCATAATCATGTATTTTAATAACAATTTATTAAAAATATGTTTTTATGTATATTTATTTAATTTGTTAATATTTTGTTTTTATAATTAATTTATTATTATTGTTACTATTATTGTTATTATTAATAATAACATATACAAATAATTATTATTATTACAACAGATCATTACAGATATTAAAATATTAATAATGGTTGTATATATTTTTATTTTTATAATTAACATTTTATGTATTGAATTATTGTTATTAATAATTATAATATAGTATTACAGATATAATAATGTTTATATATTTATTTTTGTATTTTATTGTTAATATTTTAGCCACACCCTTTCTCACTCTGTGCCTTATTACCCAGTATTTTTATTACAAATTATAATACATTTGTATATTTATTTTCTATTGTTAATATTTTTTTTACTTTTAATAAAAATATTTTTATAATTAATATTTTAATTAATTATTATTGTTATTATTAAAAGTAAAATAATATTAAAAATAACAATAATGTTTGTATATTTACTTTTATTGTTAATATCTTTATTTTTTACAACTAATATTTTATTTATTTAAATAACTTTTTACAATGCTACAATGTAACAATCCCCCTGCACTTCTCCAGATCCTTGCAAACCAGAGAACCTGACTGCTCATGTTTCATGTGACAGTGAGACGGCAGCGCTCAACTGGTCAAAAGCCAAAGGGGCGTCATTCTACACTGTGATGGCAACAGGGAGTCTGGGATATATTGTAGACTTCAACACTACTTCTACTAACTTGTCTGTTTCACTGTTCTGTGGACTAAGTTACAATATGACTGTCCAAGCGCATAACGATTACTGTGAGAGCCAACTGAGCACTCCTGCAGTTTTCAGACTAGGTATGTATCTGAAATTAGACATAAACCTGCTGTGCACTAAACAAAAATCCACAACCTTTAACACACAAAGGCAGTATGTAATTTCCTGTTATTATAAGAGAATTTATTGCAAATAATTCATGCTGATCTGTTATTTGAGGGAGTATGGTAGGAAATGAATTGACTTGCCTTTGTAATGTGTGTGGTGATCCAGCGCCCTGCACACCCCTCAATCTGGTGACATATGTGGAGTGTGACAACCAGTTGGGTTCTGTCAGCTGGGGCCCAAGCGATGGGGCAACAGGGAGTCTGGGATATATTGTAGACTTCAACACTACTTCTACTAACTTGTCTGTTTCACTGTTCTGTGGACTAAGTTACAATATGACTGTCCAAGCGCATAACGATTACTGTGAGAGCCAACTGAGCACTCCTGCAGTTTTCAGACTAGGTATGTATCTGAAATTAGACATAAACCTGCTGTGCACTAAACAAAAATCCACAACCTTTAACACACAAAGGCAGTATGTAATTTCCTGTTATTATAAGAGAATTTATTGCAAATAATTCATGCTGATCTCTGTTATTTGAGGGAGTATGGTAGGAAATGAATTGACTTGCCTTTGTAATGTGTGTGGTGATCCAGCGCCCTGCACACCCCTCAATCTGGTGACATATGTGGAGTGTGACAACCAGTTGGGTTCTGTCAGCTGGGGCCCAAGCGATGGGGCGAACATGTACACTGCCACAGCAGTGGGTGAGGATGGACACACACATCTGTGTGTTACTAATGGGACCAGCTGCACCTGGGAGGACCTGCACTGCGGTGAAATCTATAACGTTACGGTCACTGCCAATGACAGCCGCTGCACGAGTGCACGCAGCAACAGCACCACCATACATATGGGTAAGACCAGACACTCTAATGATAAATATACCATCAGTTTGCATCTGAAGGATGAATTTGAGTAGTTTAAAACTAACATTACATATAATTTACATGATAGTTAAATAAAAAAAAAAACTAAAACAAATGTATGAATGTGTATTAGATAGCAAATTGCATAAGATAAAAAAATCTAATCAAGTGGCGTTCACTTGACACTTGCACTTATCTATGTAGTATATATGTAAAATTATTTGAATGCTGTAAGTGCACTAAAAAGTATTTGGATGCTGTATGAACTTGAGGGGGATCAGCTGATTAAAAATCTTCATAAAAATGACTAAGAAAAGTTGAATAAGTTCTGAACAGGGTGCACAATCTTTTAATAACTATATAAAACCCAACAAGAAGTGTAACAAAACTGCTAATTTAAACAACACAAACTATACTTATATATACAAGATATATTCTCTAAAAACAAGTTTGCTTCACAGGATAAAACTTCTAAAGTAAAAGACATGACATGAAGCAAAATTAAAGTCACATGAACAAAGCACACCAAACCGTGTTGGAAAACAAGACAATATATTTGAATATATTCCTCATCATGAGACAAAAATATGAACTTTCTAATGATTATAAATGACAAAATTATTATTAAACACATTTACTCACGTTCAATCCAATTTAAATATTATTATTTTTTTAATGTTATAATTTTTCACAATACCCTGACATTTTCCTTGTTTATGCATGTAAACACAAACCTCAGGGGAGTTTTTAATGCTGTGCTATGTTTTCTGGCTCTTTAGCCCCATGTGTTCCTCAAGCTTTGCTGCCCATCCTGGACTGTGGCACAGGGGTGGGTACTCTGAGCTGGGCTTCCAGTGCTGGAGCTGAGACATATGAGGTGACAGCAGTGAGTGGAGATGGGAATCCACTGGCATTCAGTACCAACATCACCAGTGGCTTCCTATCAGAGCTGCTCTGTGGTCAACAGTACCAGATCACAGTCAGAGCAATTAACAGGCAATGCAGAAGTGTACTGAGTTCACCTGCTTACCTGTCATCAGGTAATACAGAAACACTGATGGCTTGACTCTTTATATAGTCTGTTGAAAATGACCCATATCGCAGATCTCAAATGCTTTTCCTGTTCTCTTCTCCTCTAGTTCCATGTGTTCCTCAGAACGTGGTGTCTGAGCTGGACTGTTTGTTTAACTTTATAACTATAAGGTGGAACATTAGCCATGGGGCGGCGTCTTACCTGGTGGTTGCCAATGGACCTGAGGGTCCAGTGACTGCCTGTAACACAACTGCACAGCAGTGCGGACTGCAAACACTGCATTGCAGCTCCTCGTACGATGTCAGCGTCATTGCAGTCAACCATCAATGCAACACATCAGGAAGTTCCATCTTACGAATAAATACCGGTATAGTCTATATATAGTCTGCTCTCTACTTTTATCTCTGTTTGAAAAAAAAAGATTAATTACAATTAAGCATGCCAACAGATGTAAGATAGAAAACTAATTACTAATTTAGTCTTTCTCCAACCTTGTTTCTTTGCAGTGCCGTGTGTACCTAGTCATGTGCAGGGCAGTGTAAACTGTACAACTGGAGATCTATCTGTATCCTGGGACCCAAGCGTGGGGGCCATTTCCTATGCTGCGGTTGCTCAGACTAGTGGTGGCTACACTTCAGTGTGCAACAGCACCGGAACAGCATGTGTCTTCTCAGATCTGCTCTGTGGGATGAACTATAGTCTAGCTGTCAGCGCCACTGACGGGACATGCAACACTGCACAGAGTCAACCAGTTGTGCTGAGTACAGGTACCTGAAAAACATTAAAATAACATCCACCATAAATACAGTTCAGCACTTTGGGGTCAGTACTACTTTATGCTTTAGAAAGAAGTCTTTTATGCCTTGCGTTTACTTGATCAAAAATACAGTAAATCAGTAATATTGTGAAATATTATTAAAATGTAAAATAACTGTTTTCGATTTTAACATATTTTAATTTATAATTTATTCCTGTGATGGCAAAACTGCAATTACTGCAGACTTCAGTGCCACATGATCCATCAGAAATCATTCTAATGTGTAAACCGTGTTCTTTCTTATGATTGATTATTTGATGGAACAGAAAGTTTGAAAGAACTGCATTTATTTGAAATTACATTTTTATGAAACATTATAAAAGATTTTGTCACTTTTGATCAATTTAATGCATCCTTGCTTAATCGAAGACATTTGCTGAAATCGTGGAGCCTTTTCATCCAATCCGTTGAAAGGATGTAGTTGTCACAAGGAATGTGAAGACTACAGTTGCAAATCAAATCTGGTTGATCAAAATAATCCGAGTTTACTGTTAAAATACACTTATATTGATTTATTAAGTTGTGTCCTCAATGTCATTAAACTATTTGAAAAAAAAATAAATCTGATTTTTTTAAAGTCATTTTTTCCAATGAACAATTGGTTTTTACATTACCAGATTATTTTAATTTTATGGATCATCAAAACAAAACAAGATCTTTAATTACCCCCCCCCCCAAAAAAAAAAATTGACCTTTGAACAGTGTATTATAGTGCAATGATACATATATGTCTTTGTTTAAATTTTTTTTGTTCTTAATATAGGCAACAAACATCTAGACACTGCGCAATAAAATAAAACAATGCATATATTGATATTTTATTAAATTCATAGCAATTAAATGACAGCCCTCTAAAACAAGGATGTTTTACTGTTCTTCATTTTAGAAATGTGCTTCCTAAAATAACTGAAACATTCTCAGTTACTAGTGTTAGTACTGATTTTTAAGTTTCAAGTACTAAAGTTAATAATCTTGCTAATTATGATAATTGTTCATATTTCATTTCACTTCAGTGTCCTGTAAGCCACAGAATGCTAGCGCCCAGCTCAACTGTGACACCAACTCTGCAGTTGTAAGTTGGGAGCTCAGTGATAACATTAAGCGTCACACAGTCCAGGCTACTGGTTCTGATGGACATCGCATCGACTGCTCCAGCTTCGACCACAGTTGTACATTATCTGGCATGCACTGTGGCCAGAGCTATAACATTACCGTCACTGCCTTGGATGGAGTATGTGACAATAGCAACATGCACCTCTTTCTGCAGTCAGGTGAGTCTGCTGATTCTCTTGTGCACCTGATGACAGAGAAGCCAAGATTAAATCCTGTATCTGATTCAAGTCGAACGTGGGGTATTCTAATCTGTTGTAAAGAAACAAAATGACCATGCAGGTGTATGATTATCAACACTAATGGCTCCTGTTCGTGCTCTCTTTCAGCTCCATGTGCACCTAGCAATGTTCAGACGTCTTTGCATTGCGACATCAGCAATGGTGGTGTTGTGTCTGTGTCGTGGGTGCAAGCAAACGGGGTGGAGTCTTACACGGCTGTGGCTGAGTCTAATAATGGTCATTCCTACTCTTGTAACACCACCGCTGCCTCCTGTGATCTACAGGAACTGCAGTGTGGTCAGATTTATAATGTGTCTGTCTACTCACTGGCTCATGGCTGTGGGCGAGTGAAGAGCACTACGTCTCAGGTGCAGACAGGTGCGTGTGTGAAGATTTTACTTACTTTATCAAGAGAGGAGTATGTCTTTATTTAATGTTTTAGTCATTTTCAAAACCAGTGGTCCCATCTCGAAGCTGATAATTACATAATAAGAGATCTGAACACTTCAGTTCAACTTAATTAGCCACCAAATATATAAAAGGTCTAATATAAGCATAATTTCTTTATTCATATTGTATTTTTTGTTTCATGTATGTTTCACCAAAGGTTTCTTTCACCAACAGCAGTTGTAATTTAATTTGATCATTTTCCACCCCAAC